CGCCCATCCTTGCCAAAGGACTTCTCAAGCAGCATCATGCACAGGGAAATAAGTTTACCTAGGTGATACAACAATACAGTTTTTTTTTTTTTGCCGGGAGCAATACAGATGTGAGACGTGCAAGTAAAATAAACTAGAGATCGGCAAAGGCTGCTACTGATCAACTTAACATTTAACAAGAGACTGATGTCACATATGTACACTGGGATTGGGTGCACTACACTTAGTATTTTAGGTGTGCTGAATTGCAGTCAGGCAGATGTCACCCAAATGTCTTCTCGTTGCTGTAACACATGTAGAGGAAGCCATCCTGCTTATCTTTGTACGAATCATACACGCTACCCATCAGGTTACCTGCAAAAAATTGTTCGACAAATTTACACATGGATATGCGCAACACCACCCCGGTGACATGGATTAAAAGCTCACCTGTTTGGGGCAAGGTGTTTTTCACAAACACGAAAAGCGCCGTTCCTGGAGACAGATGTAACCTGGAGCGCAGGATGAAAATGAACTGCCCAACTAGCATGTCACATGGAACCAGGTACCTGCAATCAAAAACAAGCAATCATCAATGGTTGCACAATATAAAGGAACAAACATCATGTCTGGTCTTGAGATATGCTTACTTCCTCTTTTCCATTTCTGGAAGGTTACTCCTCGAAAACCTTTCAACAATCACCTGCAAATGCAAACATGGGCATAATGTTGGAGCAGCATACATACAAACAGATAAATTTGATTAAGACAAACAGCAGAGAGGGAAATGCACGTTTTTTGTCAGGGTCTAAAAGTTTCTCAAATCTCGTCAGTTTGAGTAAATCTCTGGAGAATAGAATGACTCGGTTGGTTGGGTGACAAATAGCGACTTTGTTTTACTTCTCCAGTTTCATCATCTAAAAGTCTATTTAGCATTAATAAAAATACATTTGCACAAACAGGCTGATTGAAGCGACCACACAAACAAAAGCAAACATACAATGTCACCTAACATGACAAAATTCTTGACAAATAAACAAAGAAAACGTCCTGACATCAAATTTCCACACACGGATAGACTCTTCTAACAGCAAGAGAACACATATAAAAACAGCACAAACCAAGGGTTTTTTACTGATCGATATTTTTCCTATCGGAGGGTTAACGGTAGGCCCGGCTACCAACGGTTACAGGGAATCTAGGTATTTTACCAGAAAAAAATCAAGTGAACTTTGAATTCAATCTTTTTAAGGACAGGACAAGTAATTCTGCCCTATATTGCAGGCAAAATAGAGGACGATTCAATGGTAAATTGGAATTGTCCCTATCGCCTAGGTCATGGGTTCGAATCCTCCCAGTGGAAGCTCATTATTCTTTTTTACCTCAACATATTTGATGTAGTTTTGAACGTTTAAATTCAAATTTAACCAAATATTTTTGACCGGTAATAATGTTTCTTGTGGTGGGGGAGGGCGGTTCCGGCTACCAGAAATCTCGGCCAAGAGAAAAACCCTCGCACAAGCACACCACAGTTTCTAAGTTTATGGGGCTGCATATGTGTTCAGCTATCACTGCACTTTCTAAGTTTATGTTTTCTGTAGCACAAGTGGTATCTTTACTGTAAATGGAACAGTAGAACTGCACTTGTATGTTCTTCTCCCAACCACAAAGTCTGGCAACAACCAACAACAAATAAAGCAGGGGTGGAGCAAGCACATGGTGACCATGGGTGATTGCTGCCCAGGCTCGCTGTTGTGCTGCATCGAGTGGTGATGACGTATCTAGCCAGACATGGGCCGATGGAGTCCGCTTTGCTCGGGCAAAAGATAGTCACTTCATGTGTTTCTTCAGGGACAGGGCGCATTCCTGTTGGCAACAGACAAGGCCACAAGTCCGACTGGAACGAGTTCTCCTGTCCTTGGGTCCCCGCCACGCTCACAGTTGCTTGTTTTGTTGCTCACGTTGCTAGCTGCATTTCTCATCAATTTTGAGGTGTGGTGACTAGTGATATGAGATTTGACTTTGTAGCTCAGGAGTTGTTCTTTGCATGGCAATTTCTGAATTGTGGAATTATGCATTTGGCCCCGGGGATGATTTAGTTTGAGCACACATAACTTGTTCAATCCAAGAATTACAATCATAATCAATACAATTTAGAAATGCAAAGGCACATGTAGGATCACCCCAGACTCTGCATCAATCGATGCACACCACCTTAATATTTGTTCCACATGATGCCGAAGGCACCAATGCCGAACAAATCAGCTTTGATGGGAAACAAACTGATAAACAAATTGTTAAACTGTGTCCAGCTTTGGCAGAACCAACCTTACTAATGAGGAAATCAAAAGGCAAAACACCTATGATGCTACCAACGAAGCAGAGTCCTCTTGCTTTTATTATCATATATGAACATTTACATATGTGTCATGTATAAGCACTCTTTAATGAACTTCATAAATCTCAAATATTAAAGGGGAGTTGGTGGTCATACGTCCATTAGTGGAGCTTCCCCTCCCCCATGTTCTGCATTAACTCAATTAAACCAAATCAAATCTTTCGCAGTGCGCCCACATTGCTGGGTGTAAGGTAATTGCATTAACTCAATCAAATCAAATCGTTCCAGCTATATGTCGGACACGGGCAACTAAATCAAATCAAATCAAATCTTTTGCAGCGCCTGCATTGGTGGGTGTAAGGTAATTGCATTAAGTCAATCAAATCAAATTGTTCCAGAGGCAACCAAATCAAATCAAATCTTTTGCATTAACTCAAGCAAATGAAATCAAATAAAATCCTGCATTAAAATATGGTGGGTGTAAGGTATATGTCGACAGGATTGGTGCTGAACCACTAGAATATGTATGTTACCGTTGCAACGGGCAATTAGGTGCTTCATAGATTTGCAGCTGTCAAATTTGGTGCTTCATGAAAAATCCAAGCACCCTGGTTCTAGATTTCAAGTTAAACACTTAAGGACAGGCTCAACAAACTTCATGACTCCCCACTGAATTTGAGCACAGCTGAAAAACTTGACAAGTTTTTCCCCTCACTTGTCAAGCTTATGTTGAGCCGAACCACACTATGTACAGGAGGCAACAAAGTACAGTTCAATTCAATTCAATCAATCAAGGAGGCTGGTTGCGAATCTAGTATGCCCGGGCCTCGGTAACCCTAGCTATTCCTAATTAGTACTGTAGCAGGTATAGTATATCAAGTTTCGGTTCGGCGAGGTAGAGAGAGAGAGAGAGAGATACATACGGGGATCCTGCCGGGGTACTTGGCGATCATGGCGGCCGACTCATTCGCCCTCTCCTCTGCATCCATCCATCAGAAAATTCAGCGCCCGAACGAGACCAGACCGATAATAATTCAGAAAGAAAAGGAGGAGGTAGCATGCTTACCCAGGGTGAATTCCTTCTTGAAGGATTTCATCCTCCCCCTTGTTGGTTCTCGCGGAGTCGATTGCTGGTGTTGCTGCTGCTGTTTCTTATTTGAAAATCGCGGATAGATTGTTGTCAATGGCGAAGCTGGTCAAGTTATCCCTTCCCTTCCCCTCGGAAAGAGGAAGAAGAAGATGACACGATACATACGCTCGCTAGAAGCCCAGTCCAGCCCGTCTCGGAAAGAGGTAGTAGTAGATTGGCCCGGCCCAATGCAGACCGGGCTTCTTCTTCTTCTCCCTATCTCTTGTGTGCCAATTAATTATCGCTGCCGTCTCCTCCCCCACGACTCCACCCTCCTCCTCCGCCGCCGCAGCCGCAGCCGCCGTGCGAATCTATCTCGAGGGTGGGGGAGATGGCGGACGCCCTGGACATGTCCCTCGACGACCTCATCTCCAAGAACAAGTCCTCCTCCCAGCGCGGCCGTGGCCGCCGCAACCCGGCCTCGGGTTCGGGCTCGGGCTCGGCGTCGGGAGGACCCGCACCCGCCGGCCGCCGCTTCCAGGCTCGCGCCGCCACCCGCGCTGCCGCCGCGCCCTACCACCAATTCAACTTCCCGCCCCCGGTATGGCGAACTACTCCTCCTAATTCAGAGATCTGGAGCTCACTCAATCTAAACTGGCCTTTTGTTTTCCGGGGGGTGGGGGAGCACAGGCGCCGGCGGCTTTTGCATATGCTGCCCAGCAGGCCCATGCCCATGCCCACGCCCAGGTGATGGCCATGGTGGCGCCGCCGACCGGGGTCGAAACGGGCACCAAGCTGTACATCTCCAACCTCGACTACAACGTTTCCAACGAGGACATCAAGGTAAGACCACTAGACCCTCCTCCTCCTAGAACCCTAGGAATAGCAGTCCCTGTTCTCCTGTGCGTGTTACCCATCTCAGCATACCTTTAACCTGGTTTCGACAGTAGGATAACATCGTAATCCACAGCTTCATCTTGAAGAAGGATTAGACAAGGTTACCAATTATTTAGCTCTTTTTCGACACCATCTATGGAATCCAAGTTTCCATTATTCATATTGTTCTTTTACTGTCCAACCATACATTACGAATAGACAAGGCTCCGAATTATTTAGCTCGACGCCTTTAGAGCAACCAGGGAATTCTCTTTATTCATCGTCTCATCCTTTAAAGTTACTCTATAACATGCTGCTTAATTTGCTCAGGAACTCTTTGCTGAGGTGGGCGATCTCAAGCGGTACTCCATTAACTACGACAAGAGTGGGCGATCAAAGGTTTTCAGCCCCTGCTCATCTCAACTTCGTTGCAGTATCTGCCTTTTGAACACCTTTCACTTAGTTCGAGTGCTCACAGATCACCTCATTACTGTAACTCCATTCGCCAGGGAACTGCAGAGGTTATATTTTCAAGGAAATCGGATGCTCTAGCTGCTCTAAAGAGGTACAACAATGTGCAGCTTGATGGCAAACCTATGAAAATTGAGGTCATTGGAACAAATATTGAGGCACCACCACCACCACCTGCTATTTTTACTTTGAATACCCCGACGATAGGAAACTTCATTCCTTCCTACAGGTTAGTAGCAGATATCACATTTACTGAATTTTCTTGCTGCTAAAATTGTTACTTATCAAAATTACTGTCAAACTAAAACTGTCTTCTAAGCACAATCCTTAGTTCCTTACCCTTTGGGTTGATTAGCGTTTGCACAATTAGGCAGCAGCTGCCACTGGCTGTTAAAGATTCATTAACATGGTTGGTATTCATATATTGTGTAGTTAGTGACTAACTTAGCGTGTCATTAGTTTGACAATTTGTGGAATTGGACCGTCTTCATCGTCCAAAGTGCAAGCAAGGCATGAATTACCTTTGCCTGCCTCATTTCTAGTAAAATCTTGTATGTTGTGGTACTTCTAATGCATTACTGGTCTTGAAGTTCAGCATTGTTTTGTTTATTTGCCCAACTTGCTATCTGAGGGCTGAGGCAAGCGAAACTAGCCAACATGAGCGATAACTTTGAGAAGCAAGGGTATGTGTTGGTCCTTATTGCCTTGGGAGCTTAAAATGAGTGCGGGTGCGTGCACCCGGACGTTGACCAGGACCAGGACCAAAACATGACCAAAGGGAGAGCAAGCAGACTTTGCCCATAGGGAGGGCCGATTAGGCAAATATTTTGCCTTGCCCATGGCAGCAAGGATTAGCTCCCCCTAAGCTCCTAACCTTGTAAATTTCTTGGGCTAGCAAAGGAAACCAAATATGCTTATCAAAAAGATTACACTTCAATTAGCGATTCTCACAAGTATGAGTCAAAATAAAGTTAGTTCTATTAATCACCCTGTTCAATTTGCATTGTCATATATGCATTTTCATTCGTGTTGCGCTAATTCTTTTAGAAGATTTTGAGCAAGTGACACATCTAGTGGTACTGGATATTTGCAGTGGCGGACGTGGAAGGGGCGGTGATGGTGGTCGGGGATGGCCTCGGGGCAGAGGTGGATTCGGCGGGCGTAGTGCTGCTGGGCGTGGTCGAGGGCGTGGTGATGTTGGGCGTGGGCGAGGGAGGGGAGGGCGTGGCAGTCAGCCAGTTTCTGCCAATGATCTAGACGCAGACTTGGACAAGTACCACTCGGAAGCGATGCAGACCAGCTAAATGGCTTTGGCCCTGCCGCACCTGCATCCCGCACAGCCATTAGCCTTGTGTAGGAATAGATGCGGCCATGTATTTTAGATTGTAATTTGTGAGACAAATGAAGCGTCTGTCTTTTGTTGTGTGATGATCAACGTGGTGCGTTCCATTGTAGCTCTAGTTTCTCTTCCTCTGAGTTGTAGCAGTTGAGACGGTTGGACTAAGATGAGATTTTTATAAAGGGTGATCACAAGTGTTACATTTGCTGTCTGTTGATAGTAGTATATGAGTGTTTGTTTTTCCTTTGAACAATGCAGTGCATTGATAGTAAGATGTGGTACATGAACATAGTACGAACAAGGTAGGCAGCATCAGCGACTAGGTTGGAGACTGAGGTTCAGCATGTGAGCCTCCAGCTGCTGTGCCTCCTTCATCATCTCCCCCATGCAAAACCCAATCGAGCCCAGGCAAACAGCAGCCAACTGCTCTTCTTCCTCCTCCCGCTGCTGCTGTGACAGTGCCTCCCTCGCATGGCCGACGAAGGACTTGACAACCGCCATGTCCTCGCAGAAGATTCCTTTGCCGGCCTCAAGGTCGACGTCCTCCTCCTCCAGCACTGCCTCCAGGGACGCGGAGAGGGCGCCGTGGAAGCGCTTCATGTCCGCGCCTAGCTGCCGGCTGCCGCCGGCGGTGTCGATGAGGATGGCTCGGGCGTGCTGGTAGAGCCCAATCAGCTGCGTGATCCTGCTCAGGCTGCCATGAACCTTGTCGTAGCAGCTGGTCGGGAACGGCGCCAGCCACAGAAAGTTTGGCTCGCTGCCTGCCTCCGCCGCGTACTTCTTCAGTAGCGCCACCTGCTCCAGCAACGTCTTGTGCTGCTGCTGCTTCGCTGCCGACGTGGGTGCCAGTCCAACCACGCACTCCCGCAGCGCGGCGATGCAGCGGTGGAGCTGCGCCCTGGCCCTGGCGGTCGGCCTGGCCTTGCGCTGGAACACGAGGTCTGTCGCGACGGTGCAGGACAGGCCGATGAAGGTCTCCACGAGCCTGGTAATGGTGAAGGCCATGGGCGCCTCGTCGTACCTCCGTCCCACGATGATGATGCCGGAGAGCGCGGCGGCGACACCGCCCGCGGGGCCATATGCACGGCTGCGCTTGAGGAAGGTGGCGAGGACGATCCAGGGGAGGAGGGCCAGGAAGCGGAGCTCCATCAGGTGCGGCTGCTGCGAGAGGAGGCAGCCCAGCACGCCATAGACGGAGCCGATGGCGGTGCCGTGCGCACGCGCGATGGCCACGGCCCACGTGGAGTCACGGCCGGCGGTCATGGTGGTGGCGACGATGAGGCCGGACCAGAAGCCGTGGTCGTTGTTGAAGAGGAGGCCGAGAAGGACGGCGAGGCCCAGCGACACGGCGCACTTGGCCGCGGTCATCACCCTCTCCCATTCCAGCCCCCACCTCAGCCACACGCTTTTCTTCTTCTGCTTCTTGGACGTGGTCTCCATGTCGCCAGTCTTATTTGGCGCCTCGTGTTCTTGCAGCTGGTCTTCTTCTTCTCCGCTGCTGGCATGTGCTCCTTCTTCCTCTTCTTCTTCGGACAGGTAGAAGTCGTCGTCGTCGGTTGATTCGTCGGTTGCTGTCGCTGCCGGAGTTACCTTGCAGGTGGTAGTCTTGGTCTGATCCGGATGAGAGGAGGCCAACTGCTGCAGGGTGCCACGACGGAGGAGATGCATGGAGAAGAGGAAGAGGAAAGGAGACAGCTCCTCGTGCCTCTCCGGCAACAACGTCGTCATCGTATCGGTAGTCAACATTAATGGTGATTGTTTGTTGATGGTCGTCTTGGTCATGGCGACGCTGGTGGTGGTGCTGCTGCTGCAGTGGTGGTGGCGATGTGTAGTGAGCATGGAGAGGCGTATCTGGTCCCTCATATGCTCTAACCAGCTGCTGCATATCATAGGGCTGGTGCCGGCGATGGCAGTGCTGGTGAGCGCAATCTCCATGCCCTTGATGGGCATCTCGATGCGGCCGTGGTCTACCACCGCCTGCTGCGGCATCCACCGCCTGAGCACTGCTGGCACTCTCTCCCACTGCAAATCTCCCTGCACGCGTGTATGTAGTAATCCAAGTTTAGTTCATCATATATACATGTACTAGATCCGTGCAAATTAAGCTGATCACATGCATGCTTCTACTGCGTAATTATAGTATAATAGTGGTAACTCGCATGCATGCATGCGGCATGCCGAAGACCAAAGTCATACTACTACTTGTTTTTCTGACGAGGACTCCAATAGTACTACTAGGTAGCACTAGCGCTGCATTCTAGTGCTGGTCTACTTTTGGCATCTAGCAAGCTCTTTCGGTAGCTAAGCATGCACCCAACTGACGCAAGCAGGAATTTAACGCT